ATTTTTTGATTTATTGTAGAGATGAGGTCTCACCAAGTTGCCCAGGCAGGTCTCGAACCCGTGGGCTCAGGCAATCCACTCACCTCAGCCTCCCAAAGGCACGGGATTACAGGCTGAGCCACCGAGCCCAGCAGCAATCTGTCTTTAAATGCAGACTAAAAATCACTGCAAGAGTGTAGCCACCATTAAAATAAAAAACAGGTGCTTTCTTATTGAATACCACCTTCTATGCCAAGCGCAATGCTTGACAAACAACATGGGTATGTCTCAGAGAAGCCCCACAAAGTCGACAGAGATTACTAACCCTGCACTGCAGATGAGGAGATTGAAGCTCAGAGAGGCCAAAGGATGCCCCACCATCATATAACCATGACACCAAGTCCCATGACAATGAGTGGACACATCTGCACTGAGCAGATATTTAGCTGCACAGAATCTCAAGGAAGCGTGAATTTCCAGATAACCCTAAAAACGTTTTGTTCTGTGAAAAATCTGGCAAATATGTTACACTATCCCATGTATGGGAGATATGACTGAAACTTCTGATGCCTCAGAGTCATCACACTCATCAATCATTTGGTTATCAGTATTATCAAGCTCTAGTGGACTGATTTCACATTAACCAAACTCCAAAGAGACTGATGTGGGAAAACTGAAGGTTTAACTTGGTAATGTAATAGGAGACATAAAATTATCAGTCAGACCCAAAAATCAGGGTATAACAATCAGCACATTTTCTCTTCAGTGGCCAGATCACAGGCAGGAGGTAAGCAAAAGCCAAGTCTATACTTTTCTTACGAGTGAACATTATAGAGGATGCCCTCTTACACCAAACACTGGTTTCTAAGTCTTTTCCTGACAGTTTTCACCTCTATAGCAGGACCTTGATACATGAATAACAAAGTCCCTACTTGTAAAATGAAGAGACTAAGCCAGATGCCCAGATTTCCTCTTGTTCTAAGTAAGATTAGTTTCGTGAGCCTATGTCTTTTATTTATATTTAGTTTTGTTAAAGTTTTCAGATTAGCACTGAATATTACTCCCTTCCCTGAGTAGAATTCCATATTTGTATTTTGTTGAAACATAAATAAAGTTCATCTAGAAAACCCCTCTTGCTCAGAGGGTTTTCTAGATGAACTTCAATGGAATAAAGTTCTGTTGCAGTGATACACCTGCTGCCTAGACAAATGATGAATGCAAATCACAATGTACTCTCTGTGGATAGTGGTCAAGACACAACTGCCAATGCTTGCATAACTACCTTTCCTACCCTTTCTAGGCTGGCCAACCTCCTGACTGATTCACAGATGTACATACAGAACTATAGATTGGCTAATACCTCTAAACACCTGAAGCCAGCCCCAACTGCCGGGGTATAAATCCCGGCTCTGTCATTCACTAGTTCTATAGCCTTAGTCAAGTTAGTTAATCTCTGTCTCAGTTTCCACGTCTGTAAAATTGGGATTATAACCTCATCTACTTTACTGGGTCGTTGTGAAATTAAAGGATTAAATTGGCTTACTTTATTTTTTTTTTTTTTTTTTTTTTTTTTTTTTTTTGAGTTGGAGTCTCACTCTGTCACCCAGACTGGAGTGCAGTGGCCGCTTCCGGCCACCACAGCCTCGACCTGCTGGACTCCGGCGATCCTTCCACCTCAGCCTTCCAAGTAGCCGGAATTACAGGCATGTGCTACCACGCCCGGCTGATTTTTTGATTTATTGTAGAGATGAGGTCTCGCTGCCCAGGCGGGTCTCGAACCTGCGGGCTCAGGCAATCCACTCACCTCAGCCTCCCAAAGGCGCGGGACTACAGGCTGAGCCACCGAGTCCAGCTAAATTGGCTTACTTTACATGCTTAGTATAGTGTGTAGCACATTTTAAGTACTCAGTAAATATTACCTACTAGGGTGATTTTACATGTCTCTGCTCTAATCATCTTTCTGTATTTTCTTGCTAGTCTAAATCCCAAAGGATATCCTATTTCTCTTTTCACAAATTCTTGGAGAGCGCCCTTCTGATGGTCCGCATGACCTATTCAAACTATGGAGGACATGTTCTCACTCATAAGTGGAACCTGAACATTAATCACAATAGCACAAAGGAGGGATTAGCAGTTGCAGGACACTGCCAGGGAAGAAGAGGTGGGGGGTGGGGGGGGGAACGACACACAACAACAACACAGAAGGTACCTGGTCCTAAATCAGAGGCAGTAAGGACCAGCTGGAGGCTCAGACTTCACCTGCATGTAGATTACTTATGTATCTAAACCTGACTTGTACCCCACATCTCTATGATCAAATAAAGTAAAAAAATAAAATAAAACAAACTGTGGGAGAGGGATGCTTACTCCTCACTCCTCCAGTTCCCATACTACATACACGCTTTTCCCTAAACACTGCTGACCTCTTGTCCATCCCTATTCTTCTCCCACATAAATGCAGCAAATTATGAGATTAGTGAGTTTGGGAGACAAGCTGGACATAAACCCTTCCTTTTTTCACTGGGTGCTGGCCACCCTCAGGAAGCACACAGGATGCTCTGCCCCACCATGCCCTAAGTCTCACACGAAGGGATGTTGTGGCCCAGGACTATCTGGGACTGGGTCAGTCTTCCTAGACTGGGATACAATATGAAAATGCTCACTTTCCTCCAACCCTAAAGTTCAAGGAGAATGTGGTTTTATAGCTCTAGAGCACAGGAGGGACTGGGGGAAAAAAAGAAACAAAGAATATGCCTTTATCAGTAATGAAGGTGACATTTTTATTCTCTACCCGTATACTCTTGTCTCTCGGTTGGTAACTGGAGAAAATGGAAGTGTTATTATTGGGCTCCTCTAAGCCCCAATATATACTTACTTATTCACAAATAATTCTGTGTCAATGATAGGTTCAAGATAACTCCATAATAGCGATACGTCCAATAGTGCTGCTAAATTATAGGTATAGGAACTACTGACCCTCCTCAAATATTTCCCTCATTCCTTAATTGAGTCTTTCTTCATAAAAACATTTTTTCCTACTTTAATTCCTCAGTAATTTCCAAACACTATAAAATGACAGCTCCATACAAAATAATAGCTAATGGTTATGAGATGTTTCTGAGATAACCACTATCCTAAACACTTTGCATACACTGTCTCTAATTCCAACAATTCTACAAAGAAGAAATTAGCAGCCCTTTTTCGCAGATGAGGAAAAAACTCTACAATAAAGACTGACTCAATTAACATGGCTAAGTGGTCATATCTGCATTCAAACACCAGTCATCTGAACTAGGCTTTCTCCATGATACCAAGATATCACCCACTAATAAGCATACAAAAGAGGGTTCAGTACACAGGGAGTTCAACACTCTTTTGAGCTTTGGGTATACCAATGACAGTTTCTATCTCTTTTATGAAATCATGGCTGACTGGTTTCTAACACTGAAGAAAAGTCCAATTTCACCACTGTTCATACAGCATGTCTGAAATTTTCATATTGAGATGACAGAATAAAAATAAGATATAACTAGAATACTTTTTCCAGGTATCCAAAAATAATGGACATGGTGCTAGTCTGAAGCATTAAACAATAAAATCAAATTAAAGGA